GGCATGCGGTCAGCTCCATGCAGCAATCTACGCTGCGGCAGTTTTTTTCGTCGGAATAAATAGTTCACCTTAACGCTTCACGTGAATACTATACTTCATTTCAACTTCCGTCCGAACGCAGCCGAAGCTACGTGTGGCCGGAGCCAATCACACGCCGGCAATTGGTCACGCGATCTCGCCTGCACTTGGTATCGCGCCGCTGGTCGTCCGCGCCGCCCGCGCTCGCCGAGTATTTCGTCTGCTACGGGTGTATCAACGAAATCGTCTGCTACAGGTTTAAAAAGTGACCTTTCACGTTCTGAAATTTAGTCGCAGGGGATGTTAGTACGTATGCTGGCCGCTGGCGTCTGTGTCCGAGCTTTCCACCTGTTCGGCATTTCGGCATAGTTTCTAGATGTAAGTAGACATTGCAAGATGCCCGACGACCCGGCTGTTGATGTTTCCTTGTATTGTCTGGATATACCAGGGCTCGAGCCACAGTCCTTTCTACCAGCTTCTTGGTGTACAATGTGATCGGCAGGTAAAGGGGTGCCCTGATTTCGCTGTGTATCAGGGAATTGTAGTGGCCCGGACGCTTTTCTTGTTTACAAAGCATTTGCGGTACGACGCGGCCGGAGTCTCCTGCAGAATTGAAAAGTAGACATTCATCACGACCTCTCGCGCCTGACGCCCAGACATGCCTTTGCGAAAGGACGTTTTGAAGAGACTCGGTGAGGAAAGCAACAAACAAGCAGCGAAGCACATGATTCGGCAATTACAGGAACAAAATCAAAACTGAGCGCTGCAGCCGTGTTGCCAGCGGACGTACGTTTTTTCACCAAACCACATGTATCTGCATATATTAATAAGAACTTAAACTTCAGATATTTAATTCCTTTAGTTGCAAATCATTCTCAGCAGTACAATCTGGAATATTGTGCAGCGTTTACGCACAAAACAGTTGTTTAAAAGGAATTACTTTTGCGGACTACTTTGCGATGCGTAAAAATGCTCTTCTCGAAGTTGCGAAGCGTCCGTCAGCCTTTGGCTGCGCTCGAACGGAAGCTGAAACGAAGTATAGTCGTTTTTTGCCGTTAGCCTTTCACTGATTAAATCGCGCTGTACTTAGACGCTTTTTTTGTTTGCGACTTTGTATATCGAATTTTGATTATATCGAACTATTTCACGGTCCTTGCACTGTTCGATATAACGAGGTTTGACTAATTTGCCAAAGCCTAGCTTTGAACATTTCTACGAAAGGCCCATGTGGCTGTTGGGCCTCTTCCCCTGTGTACTTGCTCTTCCCCTAGCACTCACAGTGCCAATGTGTTTTGCACGCCCAGATGCTCCTGATCCGTCCGCCTCACCTCTCCAAGACAGCAGCGTTGGAGCTGCTTGTGTGACTCCGCCGGCAAGGAGCATTACCTGCCCCCGTGCTGAGCTGCCAAGTGGGGCATCCAGAAGAACTGGAAACCGCATCGCAGCACTGGAGCGGATCATGGCCCCCGAAAAGGAGGCCCGTGTAGACATCCTCGAGAGGGAAGATCGGCGGAAGGAGGCGCAACATTTAATGGAGGTGCGCATACTCCGCAACAAGCTTTTTGAGCAGCGACGACGCGGACGGGCAGAGTTCCAGCTGCTCCAGCTGGAGAGAGTGATAAAGGTGGAGCAGCTGGCAGCCCTGCGCTGCAAGCTACAAGGGTGTGGAAATCACAATTAAACTTGGGTTCTTTCAGTTTAAAAGCATTCCGAGGATTTACTTATTTATTTTATGTGCGCTACATTGTAGTGAAACGATAGAACCTAATGTGTTTTGCATATTCGGAAGTTGAATGAAACAGCACACTACAATTGAAGGGAAGGGTAGGTCTTTCGTTAGCTCTGTGCTGGCCACAAGTCTTTCCCAGAATATGTTAGATTGACCAAATACGCGGAATTGGATTTGAAAATCAATTTATTCGAGCGCTTACTACTGAATTCGTGTCCGAGTATTTGCACGAGTCAGTGACGGGTCAAGAACAGAGTACAAGCTGGAGATGAGAAGTAGGACGGAAGCTTTAAGTGGAGAGGAGGTTTCTCCTCTCCACCTCAAGCTTCTGTCTGCTTCCTCCTCTCCAGCTTGTACACTATCCTTGACCTGTCATTGACTATAAACGTGCTACTGGTTGAATATCCCTATTGGAAACACAGTGCGATGATCTGTGTGCGTTTCAGCGAGCCATTGATTGTGTCGACAGGGTCTGGAGGTGATGGCAGTACATGAGGACGCAGCCGCCTCCGGCGTCGGGGTACTGGTGGAGAGGGTAGAGCAGGTGGGCATGGCTCTTTTCGCAGTAGGGCCAGGTTGTGCGGTGCAGCACAGGCGGTGATGATGAGGGCTGACCGTTCCGCCTTGTACTGTAGCCGCATGTCCAGGCATGGGAAGCGTCGCTTGAACACTCCAAATGCCCGTTCGACCGAGTTCCTTGTTTTTAGGTGAGCTGCTTGGTACCTATATGGTGCAGCATTGGTAATGGAAGCAACATTGCAAGATAAAGGTCTTCAGGTGTAAAAATCGCCACTGCTGCAACCATCAGTATGGTTCAGTAACCTGTACAGTGTGGCCCATCCATGCTAGCTGCATTTTTGGCATTTTCTATTGCTTACCAGAGGCTACTGTTCTGCATACAGTGGTTTTGGCTGGTGTTTTCTACATTACCGTCTTAATTCAAGTTCTTGGCCCTAGTCCAATTCTAGTGACAAAAAGCAACAATTGACACCGACTAACTGTGACGAGGAAGAACAACAAATGTTCTCGAGGAAAATAAAAATAGAACTAAAATGTTGTATGCTACATACTTTTGAAACAAAAATTTTTTCACAGGAAGTGAATAATGGCAGCTTTTTTTGCCATACAAAGGCCCAAAGGTCATGAATCTAGCTGTGACAAAGATTTGCAGAACTAATAGTAACCAATAGGAACACTGTGGCTACAGCATCACTTCTTGTTAGCTGTTCTGAATTTCATGCCATTATTTCTTCCAACAAATTAGTACATACCTGCCCTTTGGGCTGTTGGCTACACCCGGGCTGGTCAGGGGCGTCAGAAGAAATGACATGCAGGCATAGCCTGCATCTCCGAGCAGCAGGCCAGGGATGCGCCGATTCTCGTACAGGACCCTTGCACGACTGTTATCGAATATCCTGCTGTCATGCACGGAGCCTGGCCATCTAGCAACAAGGTCAAAAAACTGCAGCTGGGGTCCTGTGATGGCCTCTGGATAGGAAGGAGCAGTACAGGGATGAGCAGGTTGCCATGATATGAACACAAGTGCTCAAGCTGATATTTCTACTATGATTAGTATATTTTTGACAAAGTGCATCTGCAAGCTTTGGAAATTAACTAGCATTTGAGTTCTCGCAGTTTTATGTGACGTAAGCTTCAATGTGGCTTAATTCCTAGGTTTTTCACGCGGTATAATAGAAGAGAATTTGAGCACGGGATAAAATCTCCCTAATATTTTGTTCGAAAAGTATAATTCAAGGGGAAAATGCTATAAAACATGAGCGTTTGCTATAAAATAACAAAAGCCACCTCGGCACCCAATTAAATGTATGTTTCCAAACACAATACATAATTCTTGGTTTTGAACCCTCTCTAGCTGGCCCACCACCACTCTGCACTGTCGCAGAGTGCAGATCTCTCTACAAGTTCTAGTCTATATCAGTCACAATATCGCCGAGCTTTCACGCGCCACACCGGGTCTTGGCGTGCCGTTGTTTTCAACTTACTTCGCTGTCGCTAACAGCACAGACAGAAGTGAACTTACCTGCACGTTGAGGGAGAAGAACCCCTTCCTGTTCCTGAAGACTTCCCCATTGGGACCGCCAGGTCCCTTTATTTTGACGTGGGTGCAGTCGATGCACCCAGTCACACTGGGGAACTTCCCGAAGTTGTAGAAATCCCCCATGACCTCGTCGCAGTCGCCCTCCGGGAAATCCACGAGGCGGGGGAAGAGAGTCTCGGCGAGGACCCGGGAGACACGCTCGATTACGCGGCACACCGCCGGCTGCGACACGTTAACGAGGTCGCCCGTAACTACTTGAAAAGTCCCGGCGCCATAAAATCTCAGCGCAACGAGGAGCTGGAGCATCGGGGACAGTGGCAGGCCGCGACTGCTCTCGTTTGCTTCCAGCGGCAGGCACTGGAGAAGGCTTACTACTGTCGATTTCGTAAAACGATATCGCACCAGAAACTCCCAGTCGTTGAAATGCTCCAACGGGTTGAGCCGGTCCCGGCAACGCCGTCTCGGCACATCGACGTCCTGGTCGGGGTCTCGGCTGTCGTGAAGGACTTCGTCCGTTCTCAACACGAAGTCGACGAAGTCGGCGAACGATGCGTCGGCCGCCATGACACTGAACGCACTCGAGTGGCTCGAGTGGCCGTTCAAGGTAGCTCCAGCGCAGACTCGAGATCTCGAGTAAATTTTGGAGTTTCGAGTGGAGATTTCGGAGTCGAGTGGAGTTTCGAGTGGAGATCTGTTTATGAATAGCAAAACCACCCTCAAGTCGAGTTTCGAGTCGAGTTTCGAGTCGAGTAGCGTTTAAGAATACGGCGTAGTAGTTAAATAAACCAACAAATGCATAAGGAGGCACGCTTAAGAACACTGAATCCGGGATAAATTTAGCCTTCCAGTCACATGAATGCCGCTTATGTAGGTTACACTTTAACGTGGACTTCAATATTTAAAAAAACGTCCAAGAAAAGTCTATTGTTGATACTTCGTCCCTAGTTTTTGTTTCGCTTCCCTTACGTGCACCCATCTTAAGGCCGAACAGTGCGGAGGGCAGTCAAGTACGTTATTAATAGCTTGATTGATTCATTTAAGGCACAATGAAAAAAAAAGCGTTTGTGAAAGAACATAGCAAGGCATTGCAACAAGCCCTATTTCTTCTCATAGGTCAAGTGAACTTTGATTGGCCTAATCACTTCAGATTAGCCCTTGCTTTAAATAAACGATGTGTAAATTGATTGCACTTACGATGTAATCAAGACGATCAGGTCTGCTACAACATTGACCTTTTTGGTTTTAATAGCATACGCAAGATTTTCAAGGGTATTTCGAGCCAGCATGTATCTTTTATTGCGATTTGGCCTCAAGGTATCTGCTGCCTCTATGGTTTTCGTAAAAGAGTCTCCCTGGAGGAAGATATGATTTTGCATAATGGTCTTTTCAACAACGCAATAAAAAAGACAGCGATTATATGAGGCACAGATGAAAATATAATTACCCCTTTTAGTGTCATAACATTGACCAGGACAAATGTAATTCTTGGGCTCGTAATAGCCTCGTATCGCAGGTTCACATTGAGACGAAGTGGTGTAAAGATTAGAACGTATTTTATATTAGCGTATAACGCACACCAATGAGCAGAGGCGTAGCCAAGAAGGGGGGGGGGGAGGTAGGGAGCCGATAAGGTTACACCCCTCCCCCCCCCCCCCCCGCCCCTTTCCGCCTAGAACAGAGACCAGTCTACACCTCTGCATTTGAGCTATGATTGAGGACCACAAAATATTTACAAAACAACCATGTCTGGGACTGATTATTCAGGAATGACTACGTTTGAATTTTTCTACTTTTATCCTTTTCGCTTACGCTATAGCGCTAGAGCTTGTGTTTTTTCGGGGTTTTCTTAATGTTTAGATGTGATTCGCATAAACTTCAATTGAACGGTTTCCTATCACTTAGAGTGCAATCGTTCACAGTAAAGAAATTCAAGATCACGTCATTCGAAATAAGCGAGCAATGATTCTTTTAAAATAAAACATGGGACATGGTTGGTTCAAGCTGCAATATCTGAGCGCGTCTCGCACTCAAATTTGTGTTATATAAAAAGATGCTGCAGTTGTGAAGCCAGGATACAAAGCAGCAGCTCAGCCTTTACGCACCGCAGCACAGAAGCCTAATTTCTTTTCTTTTTTTGTCAAACCCAATCTTGCTTTGCTTTACCACCTGCATCCTGTTAAATGTCTAAAATTTTATATTTTATTTGATTCTATCGATTAATCACCAAGTAACTCTGCGATACTCTACTTGTATGGTATAGATTCTTATTTTGTCCGAAGGTAGTGAAAAAGTAAAACTATTTTCGTGTGACCAGGTGAGCAAGTTGTACTTGGGTTCTAATTAGAATAGAAGGCTTCCGAATAAAACTCTGAAGAACGAGCTGAAGTGAGCATGTTTTGAGGACAGATTGTTTTGACCACGAACAAAACGTGCTCTGAAGTACTGGTTTTAACTTCATGGCATTTCTCAGTGCACGATGGACCACATTTAAGCTGCTCGTCACTAAAAACGTTTAGAGTTTAAACATCAATAGTTTCTGATCACGTTTAAGCGTGGCGTTCATGTGTTTGCTATTATGCTCAAAGAATACAGTAATATTGAACCACTGTTAAAAGCGCTAAAAAAAGACGTACACAAGATACAAGACAAACACGGGCTCTTTTAACCATGGTTCAATACAGTCAACACCAACTAGTTCAACAACAAGTTCTTTTACAATACAGTAATAGTATTACACGCCCAGTAAAAGAATACCTGAGCAAGTTATGAAGCGACTTTTTTTTTTTTTTGTCCCTACTGTCAAAAGTCACTGTCATTGTCGGAGATGTTCGCTCAGACAATAGAGTTTTAGTAGACCGTTTTCGGTTTCCCGCTCCGCTCTATGGAAAGCGGAGTCGCCATCGCGCATGCGCGACCCGCTCTGGGATTTGAGCGTGTAGCGTCAGCTCCGCTATCGTCGCCATTTTCAGAATCACGTTCCACTCTCAGTAAAGGTTCAGTAGATGGTGCTTTTCTGGAAAGGTGGGTGCTCGCTATTTGAAATCATGCTTGGGAGCGCGCTTGACCGTTATGAATGTCGCTGCACTAAGAAGCTGCGCAGACTTTGTTTGAAAAGGCGTCCCCCAGAAAACGTTTCACGGTGGTCAAGAACCTCTGGCTGCTTCGAGAAATCGCTGGCCGCAATCCTTTCACGGCCCCTGAACGGTGGGAACAGGTGCTGCCTTGTCTAAGCCGGTGGGCTCGATTTTTCTATGCGAGATGACGACGACGACGTTGAGAGGATGACACACCGGACGACGGCGGTGCTTCAATCTGAGCCCTAGGCCTCGGTTCCTCGGAGGCGGCAGCTTCTACTTCGGCTGGACTACCTCCTTGGAGCATGATTCTTTGACCCCAAAGGACCCCAGGGAGCAATAGCGCCATTATGTTCCTGGTGCTCCTTCATGCACTGATCGAACGGCGTGCAAGATCCTCATAGCTCGCTGCTCACCCGCCCAACCCGCCTCCACGAAGTCTGGACTTCTGCGAATCGGACTGCCACCCTCCCCAATACCAACAACCCATGTCGTCGTCATCTTGCACGTATATACTCATCACATTACCATGTTCCCTAGACGCGGCACCGCGGGCCTCGGTGGTACGGCCTGCTGCTTTCCGCGGTGCCGCGGCTCTCCAGAGCCAAAAATTAAAGGTTAAAAACCAAAGACTAAAGCAGTCGGCAAACGGACAGATATTTTGTTTTGTTACTTTAGGTAGCAAGACAGTGAAAATTAGCGAAAGCGAGTGCTCCATTTATATCTCTACTTTTTTTCCCAATGAAATGAGTCTTTTCTTCTTCGTATGCTTCGGTCTGTGATATGGTGCCTTGGTGTTTATGTACACTGCGCGACGCTATTTGCGGGAGCATTCAATATCCTGTTTTCATTTTTCACCTTAAATTCGAGGGGCTGACATTGGCCTATTGGTGTGGAATAAAGCGCTCGTTTAGGGCACTAATCTGAGCGACAAATTTCCAGCTTTTTCAATAGCTGTCAAAGAAATAAACTGCAAATAAAAGCGATTTTTTTCGTGTTCGTATTAACAGTGGAGCGCAGTGTATGTATCCGCCTTGGGGGGGGGGGGGGGGGGGTGACATGAAACCATTTTGCTTGACTATACACTTTTTTATTTCTTTTGTGTGTTTATGAAAGTGCGTTTTTCAGCTTGAGCTCCTGCCTAGTTTCTGCCTCACTTGTGCTACGGTCTTTTCTTGCAATAGAAGGCCACACAACATAGGCTACTCTTACAATGCTGAATTCAACAGTAACACTGTAATTTGGTTAGACGCAATATTCACACGCACATATGAGAAGTAAAATGGGAGTCGTTAGTAAACGTTTTTTATGAAAATATTTCTAGATGCCTTTCAGCCCAGTTGGACAGGTATTTCGCTCAGTACAAAAGCTTAAATATGATTTACTGTGATAATTTTATGCATTCTAATATTAAACAAACAAAAAAATGCCCATGGTCTTTGTAGGTTTTGTCCAGCCGTCAAATTATGCCGTCTGCGCACATCACTGCCTGGTGCTTCACGACGAGCACCCTCTTGTGGTCTTCTTCTGATTTTTTTGATGGACGGCATATGGGCATGCTGTGCGGTCAACAGAATCCCAACAGTTGTTCAGGGGTGTTCCCTTGTCCTGGACGGCCTAATAAAAAATACAAAGAAAAACACTCTTACAACACGGCAGTATTTAAACACTACCAAAACATGTGATATGGGACTTGTTATTACTCATCTAAGATAAAGCGTATTTCCATTGTAGGGTTGTAAAAAACTTGGTATCGTAAATTAATATATATGTATCGTTGTTCCTAAATTCTGCTAAGCTTTGAGGCCGTCAAACTGTGCATGCGAGGCCCGCTAAGCCGGAATTCAAAACGAAACTTCTGAAAACTGTTCTAATCTACCACTATTGCTTAGAAGTCCAGGGTTGTGTTGGCTGAATTTTGCATTGTTTATGCCTGTCTGGTATTCACCAGACAATAAATTGACGTGGAATATTGTTTCGACCGTTATTGGTAACTCTTTTCAAAACACCACCGGGTAGCATTCGGCCGCCATATTTTGGGCATCGCTTTTAGTGCGAGACGTGTGACTAGAACCGATCTCATATTCAGTATTGACGCAGCATTCGTGTCTAATACATTTAGACTCGCATCCGCGACAAACAATGACGTAGCCCTCTTGCTCCCTAGACACTTGGCCAAAATAAGGCGGCCTCGAAGACTAGCGGCAACATGGGTTGCACTTTTAGAAAGGCTGCATTCAAGTTTCTATTATTTTCTAAATCTACCAAGGAAATCCAAGGCGAACATTTCCTGAGGAAAGTTAAACAATTCAAAAGTTGCGAGCGAGTGTGAATAAATAAAGCTGAGAGGGAATGGTTTCTTTGGTGCAGCTTGCGAGCGCTGTACTCGTTGTCAGCTTTCAGTGGCATTTTCGACAGGAGGGCGCGTGCACAGGTATAATAGGCGTTCAAGCACGCGCACCCGTACATCTGACTGCGTAGCCATAGAACGTCCACAAAAACGCGACGACTTTACCGACGCCGTGCTGGTTGCAAAGTGATACTCGCTCACTTCGTTTGATTATGCTGTTTCGTGTTAACTCGAATCGAATGGTTTACTTTTCACGCGCGGGGCGTACGCTTTACTTCTTGATTCGACCTCTTTCAAGCTCGGGTCACGGTGAAAAACATCGACGCGTATTGAGAAAGTGCAGCCATCTTGAGATCTAAGCGATCACGCTAAGGACGCTGAGCGCAGTCCGCTCTACAACTTGTGAAGCGGAGCGCACGCTCACTCCGCTAACTATACGCTCCAACTCAGAGCGGGCCACGCATGCGCGGTGGGGACGATGCTTCTCGCAGAGCGTAAAGTAGAGCAGAGGGCTCATAAAGGTGGCCTACTAATACTCACAGATTACGAACGCGCACGTCGTGACTTGTCCTGACACTGCCCATGTACACCTTTGGTGTATAGAAAAAATTAACTTTTCACCAGCCAGAGCAGCTGTGCTAGAAACAATGGAAATGCGAAATTTACACAAACCATGCAGGGTCTTACCTGTGAGCACAGTTCCAGTTTTGCCAGGGTCAACCACCTACGTTTGTTTATGTCATTGAGCAGGTGGCCGAACCTCTCGTTGATGTGACCGACGATGAGGTTCACAAATATGCAGAACACCGACAAGTTCCGTCCAAACGCTCACCCAAGTACGAACAGACGGTTGGGATAGGCCAGTCAAGGAAGAACCATGGAAAGCGTCTCGCTGTCTTGTGCTGGTATTTGGAGGCCCGCTTGCAGAGCAGCCAGGTCATTCTTTAAGCGGGATAGCCTCCGAAAGGGTTTCTCTTCTACGTTGGAAAGATCCAGCAAACCGCGTTCGTAAAGGAAGCTTCGGCGCTTGATGGCACGAGGGATACGAATCATAGATTCGATGTCTCGCCAGCTTAATCTAGTTAGAAGTCTCCTTCCTTGAGAACAGCGGGGACGTGCTGATGCCTTGCTAGCCTTGAGCAACACTGTACTCGTACTTCGCAAAAGAATGTACTCGCAATGCGCAAACTTCGTCCTTTTCTTTCATTTTTCTACTTCGAATAAGTAACTCTGCTTCATTTTTAATTCGAGTGGAGCAGAAGCTACAAGAGCGACTGACGGCCTTTCAGCGTCCTTGACCAGCACGCGCGCTCGTGCAGTGCAGGTACCGTTTAGTGCAACATGATCATGCTTATACCTTCGGCTTCACTCGCACACAAGGTGGAACGATTATATTTATATTTTATAGCTTAATATTTTTTTCGGGTGTGTGCCTACTCTTTTGTGTTTATTATTGTCGCCTTCGTTTTTACTACCTCTACATTCACGCTCCCTTTTACTCTCTTGGTGTTAACGCTTAGGTTTTTTTGTCTTACTAGTACTATAAACATCCACTTGTGGGGCTACGCAAGCAAATTTTTCGAACCCGCTCAAAACGCTCTTACGCTAAAGAAAAACGCTCTACTAAAACGCGCTTTTTGACCTCCGCTTTCCATTCCGGCGAAGCGGGCCGCGCATGCGCAGTTTGGCACCCTCAGAGCGGAGCGGAAGATGAAACGGTCTACTAAAACTCTCTAATAAACAGAGAC